GGGCCTGAGGGCCACCGGAGACGCGGGTGGCCAGCGATGGCCGCGGAGAGGGCGAGCTGGGGCCAGGCCCCTGGAGGCCGACTAGAGGCAGCGGTCCAGAAGAGGCGCTCTTTGCCCAACGCTTATCGTGTGCCCCACATTTGTCCACCCACCACCGCTGCCGCCCAGCAAGGTAGGAGCGGTCAGCGCGCCAAGGATATGGGAACAGGACCTGAGTTCGAATCCCGATCCTGACGTTTCCACACTACGTGCATTTAGACTGACGTCACTTCTCCAGGCCTCAGTTTCCTTCAGGTGCGGTGAGGAGGCGGACACCAGACACAGGACGTGATCAGTGCTCCATTAGTGCTAGCCATTATGGCAAGTAGGTTGCCAGAAGCCCATCTTCCCATTCATTTATTTATTAACACTTTATTAAGCTCCTATTATGTGCCAGTCATTGTTTGAGTCATGAACAGAGAATGGACCCCACCACCACCACCAAATATATCTATTTTGGGCTGTCATTCTAGGCCAGCATTGTCCAAGAGAAATGTATGCAACCTACAAGTGTAATTTGGAAATTTTTTTAGTAACTGAATTGTTTTCTTTTCTCTGTTTGGTGTTTTTGAGACAGAATCTCACTGTGTAGTTCAGACTGGCCTTGAACCCACCCTGTCGCTGGTAGCTGAGGATGGCCACAAATTCACAGCAGTCCTGCCTTGCCTTCCACATACTGGGATTACAGGTGTGCACATCCATGCCTTGCAAAATTTACTTCTGTTTTTGTTTTTGGTTTTTTTAGACAGGGTCTCGCTATGTAGTTGAGACTGACCTGGAACTCACTATGTAGCCCAGGGTGGTCTGAACTCACAGTGATCCTCCTGCCTCAGCCTCTGAGTGCTGGGATTACAGGCGTGCACCACCACGCCCGGCTCAAAATTTACATTCTTAATCAGTGCAGTCCAGTAGAAATTCAATCAAGCCACAAATTTGTCAACTACATTTATAATTTAAATGTATTAAATTGTGAGCTAGGGATTTGGCTCAGTGGTAGAGAAGTTTGCCTAACATACACAAGACTAAGTTTGACCACCAGCACCACACACACACACACACACACACACACACACACACTTACAGCTGTTTTTAAAAAGGGGGAAAATGATGTTAATTTTCTTTTTTTTTTTTGGTATGGGGGATGGAACTCAGGACATTGTGCTTGCAAGACCACTGAGCTGAATCTCAGGTCCTCACATGATGTTAATTTAAATAATATGGCTTGGTTTTGTTTGGCTTGGCTTTTTGAGACAGGGTCTTGTTGTGTAGCCCAGGCTGACCTCAAACTCACAGCGATCCTCCTGCCTCAGCTTCCCGAGTGCTGGGATTACAGGCGTGCACCACAGTTGTGTAGTTCAGGCTGGCCTTGAACTCAATGTGTAGCCCAGGCTGACCTCAAACTCACAGCAATCCTCCTGCCTCAGCTTCCCGAGTGCTGTGATTACAGGCGTGCACCACCACACCTAAGGTTTTATTTAACCCAGTATGTCCAAAATATCACTGCAACATGTGATCCACATAACAAGTTAAGAGATCTTTTACATTCTGTTTTTTACCCCATGTGCTCTTGAAATCTAGTGTGCGTGTTACATCTCAAGGACTCACCAGTCACACGTTGCCAGTGGCTACTGCGTCAGAACTTACAGTGTAGACGGAGAGGCGGATAAGAAATAAGTGGATTCTACCTCCAGTGGTAAGAAGCAAAGTAAATGAGGGGAACATGGGGGTTGCGGTTTGAAAGGAAGTGGTCAAGAAGGTTGAAAAGATGGCATTTGCAAAAGGACCCAAAGGAGTTGAGAACACTGAACAGAAATTTGCATTCTCGTCATTTAGCACTGTCTGAGAGAAGTTTTCGAGGTGATGGGTGTGTTCTGTATCAGCACCATCCAGTTCAGTAGTCTGTGGCTCTGCTCCTTTTGGGCATGTGACATGTGGCTGAGGAATTGAAGTTTTAATTGCATTAATTTTTCATTAATTTTGCTAAATGTGGCAGTGCACGTATGTAATCCCAGCCCTCAGAAGACTGAGGCAGGAGGATCTCTGTGAGTTTGAGGCCAGCCTGGGCTAAATAGTGAGTGCAAGACCAGCCTGAACTATGTAGCAAGACCCTATCTCAAAAAACCTGTTCAAAAATTGTTTTAAATTAATTTAAATCATTACACCGGGCATTGTGCCACACACCTGTAATCCCAGCCCTCTGGAGGCAGAGGCAGGAGGATCGCCATGTGTTCTAGGCCAACGTGGGCTGTGTAACATGAGGCATTGGGTGCTGAGCTCCAGGGATACAGCGGTGACGATCCCACTCCCCTGCAGGGAACTCAAGAGTCGCCTGTGGGGAATGGGTCTAAGAGGGTGGTTCTGACACACAAGGCCTGCAGCCCGGGGCAAATTTCTTAATATCTCTGGGCCTCAGCCTCCGCCCCATAAATTTGGGGTGATTATAATACTTCCTGAGGGCACTGTGAGAATGAAATGAAATAACCTACTTTTAGAAACTCTGGAATAGAACCTGACCAAAAAAAAAAAAAGTGCTTATTGCACTTATTTTCTTTCTCTCTCCCTCTCTGTCTCTATTTCTGTGGTGCTGAGGATGGAACTGAGGCCCTGCACATGCCCGGCAAGATTCATCTTTTCCTTATTCCTACTAATAATGAGGGGCACCAATGATCACAGTCTACAGAGACAGCACACTGGGACAGCACATGACAGGAAGGCCCGGGTGCCTGTAGGGTAGCCAGGGAAGGCTTGCCTTGGTGTCAGTGTCTCCGCTGTGGCACCGGGAGGGAAAATAGGCAGGAAGAATAGCAGTGCCAAGTACAGCAGCACACTCTTGTAATCCTGACTGCTCAGGAGGCTGAGGCAGGAGGAGACCAGCCCGGGCATCTTAGACCCTGCTCATCAGTTGCCTTGCTGTTGGGGGCGGACAGAATGCCTGATATACACACAACTCATGGGACAGAAGGTTGATTTGGGATCACAGTTGCAAAAGTGTCGGTCGGTGGTCAGTCATGTTTCTGGCTCCAAGGTAGAAACATCTTGGCAGAGGCACGTAGCAGAGGAGACCTGCTTACCTCACAGCAGACAGGAGGGGTTGGGAAGGGACACAGAGAGGAAGGAGACCAGGACAAGTATACACCCACCCAGGTACCTGCTTCCCCAGGCAGGCCCCGCCCCCTCATCAGTGGGTGATGTTAGAACAACTACGATCCAAACACCTTCCAGATACCTCACCTCTGAGGGCATGAACCTCTTCGAGGGCATTTTTGATTCAAACCATAACACTTTACCTAGCACATGCGAGGCCCTGGGTTCCATCCCCAACTCCACAAATAGTGCATCAAGTACAAAGGTCCTGAGGCAGGCGGGACCCAGCAGACTTGGGAACTGAGGGGAGGCCAGCTGTGGAGACTTGTGCCATTGAGGACACGCATGCAGCTGGTAGGATCAGGTCACACAAGGCCTCACTTTTGTTTACAACTTGAGTACCAGTCCTGAAGGTAAGGAAAATGACTCTCGTGCTCAGGTCTAGCAAGCGCAGCAATGATTTGAACCCAGATCTGCTTAGTTTTAGAGATTTTCATTTGAGAAGGGAACTCATTTCTGCTTTTGTCTTGGGTCAGAATCAAGTCCCGGGCCCCTCCCTGAGCCCAGGCTGTCAAGGGGCACAGATGACTGGGTCCTGCCCTAGAGGACACCGTGGCCCCGAGGGAGAGACAGGCGCTGGGCACAGGGACCCACCCAGTGGGAGGGGACAGGCACAGATGGGTCCAATGGGGCGTGGTGAGGAGGGGGCAGAGGAGGGGGAGGGGCTGCAGCAGAGCAAGGGCACAGACTGGGCGCGGGAGACCTTGGGGGGCCAGGGCAGGCACAAGGCGGGGAGGTGAGCGGCGTCTGCCCTGACTTTGGAGTCGCCAGAGTCAAGTGGAGAAGTTGGTGTGTGACCCCATCACTGGGCGCCACCTCAGAATGACCTAGTCGGACTCCTGCCTGTGTTCGTACAGCCTGGAAGCTGGAATGAGCTTTTTTTTTTTTTTTTTTTTTTTTTGTACCAGGGATTGAACTCAGGACCCTGCGCTTGTAAGGCAGGCGGCAGATTGGGATGAAAAAAAAAGATGGCAGTGCTTTGTGACACGTGAAAATGACACCAGAATACAGATCTCAGCATCCTTAATTGTCCGGTGCACAGACAGCCGCTCTTCCGCACACCACTGTGGCTGCCCTAGAGCTGCAGGCAGAGGATGGTGGGGCTTCATGTACACCAGGCCTCATCCTTCTGTCCTCACGGGTCTGAAGTTGCTTGTTTTTTTGAGACAGGGTCTCACTATGTAGTTCAGATTGCTCTGGAAGTCACTGTGTAGCCCAGGCTGGTCTTGAACTCACAGTCATCCTCCTGCCTCAGCCTCCTGAGTGCTGGGATAACAGGCATGCACCACCACACCCGGCTTGCTTGGTTTTGTTTTGAAACAGAGCCTGCTGGTTCGGGCTGCCCTTGAGCTCACCTGGTAGCCCAGGTTGCCATTGAATTTGCAATCCTTCCGCCTCGGTCTCCCACGTGCTGGGATGACAGGCCTGCACCACCACAGCTGGCCTGCAGTACTCTTTATAAGAAGGCAGAAGGAGGGTCAGTGTTAGAGCCCGGAAGACGCTAAGCTGTTGGTCCTAATGACAGAGGAAGAGGCCATGTGCTGAGGGAGGCCGGCACCTCTAGGAGCTGGAAAGGACAGGAAACAGATCTTCCCCAGAGCCTCTAGAATGGACTAGACTTGCCAGCATCTTGATTTTAGGCTGCTAGAACTTATTTCAGACTTCGGATATCCAGGGCCAAGGGATAAATATGTGGTGTTTTAAAGCCACTCAAGTTGTAGTATTGATTACAGCAGCCATAGGGACTGCGTGATTAGGCAACAAGCATGTCAAAGAAGTTAAGTTGCTAAGTTACCCAGACTGGCCTTGAATGTGGGTCCCCTGCTTCAGCCTCCCTCAGTGCTGGATAGGCGTATGCCACCAGGCCCAGCAAAATTTATCTTTTAGCTGATAGAATTTAAAAATGAGATTTAGTTCCAGGTCAACCTCAAGCAGGTAGTGAGACCCTGTCTCAAAAAACCCAAAAATAAAAATATAAAAATAAAAATGAGATTTAGCGTGTTGTTTTTCATTTGAAGGAAAAGAACCAGCAGCAATTGGGAAATTGAGTTTAAGGAGGAGGGAAGGCCAGGGAGTCTGGGGTACAGAGAGGCAGTGGAGTCTACAGGTTTAGGAGGTTCTCGGGGCTTGCTGAGCAGGTCAGTTAGATGCAGAGACCACTTTCAGAAGACTTGAGCCCAGCAAGTCCTCCCAGCATGGTGGCACACGGATGTCATCCCAGCTCTTGGGAAGCTGAGGCAGGAGGATCACAAGTTGGGGCCCAGCCTGGCTATCTCAGTGACTTTTAGAGAGCCTGTCTGAAAAAGAGAAGGGCTGGGGATGAAGCTCCATCTGAAGGCCCTGGGTTTGATTGGGAGTTACTACAAAAACAAAAAGGCTCAAATCCTTTGGGGGCCCAAGCTCAACCTGACTCCAGCCCAAGGAGAACTAGAAGCATTATATTTTTTTCCTAAGTAGCTGAATTGATGTTCACTTTAGCAAAGGTCTGGCATTCAGCCCCCAGTGAGGTCACAGCCAAAGGACAGATGGCCTCACGGTCACAAGTCCGACTTGGGGGCTGGCCCTGGGGTGAGCACAGCACCACTGTCTCCCTGCAGGTATTGCTGTGCTCATAAATTCCCTTCTCCAAGCCTCGGGCTGCTCTCTGTAAAAGTCTGGCGCAGGGCTGCCTGCCTGCCTTCCTAGCATTCCCGGAGGCTGAAGCAGGAGGATCACAAGTTTGAGCTCAGCCTAGACAACTTAGGAAGACTCTGTCTTCACTTTAAGGGGGGAAAAAGAAAGGTTGGGAATTTAGCTGAGTTCGAGGCCCTGGGTTCAACCCCAGTGCCACACAAAAGAACAAAGAGGAGGGCTGGGGATTTAGCTTTGTGGTTCCACTGCCTGCCTCGCAAGCACAAGGACCCAAGTTCGATCCCTGGTACCAAAAAAAAAAACAAAAAAAAAAA